TAGATGATGATCGATTGACAAATAGATGAGACGTGGGAGAGACATGCATATTGGACATGATTTAGCCTCCGTTTGGTGCACATTTATGGAAAAAGAATGCATTTTTACTGTTGATGTGATAGGGAATATGTGGTTGAAAAAGAAGGAAAAGTTATTGAAGTAATGAAAAATATTATTTTATTGAAAAATATTTGATTAAGAATTAGTAAAAGAATGAGAATGAAAAAATTAATGTGGCTCAATCAGAGCCTTAATTTTAATGATTTTGTCAAACTAAACAGGAACAGAATGTCTTGACTTCTAATGTGTAATTATGAGTTCAATTTACAAAACTTTGCCTTCACTGCTAAGGGAGATGTGGCCCTTGAAATCATGTCAAGAAGTGACATTATTCAGTGAGGCCAACTTGTTATAATCAAATATTATACTGCAATTTGCACAAAGGCATGTTTCACGTTATACTATACTACACATAGGGTCTACCAGATAGCCTTTTTTTGTACCAAATTAAGGATTTTTTTTTTTTTTACTCATTATGCAAAATCTTTCTCTCGCATCCTATGTCTTTTTTTTTTTTTTCGTGCTTCAAAGTTCGATAAATAAGACATCAGTTTGGTATGCTGGTTTCTTTGTTATAGAGGTAATGTTTCGATTGGAACAAAAAAATAATTCTAGTACTTGAAACAATAGCTTGACACCATGAAAACTAAAGAGAGTAAACCAATCCTAAAGATACATCGTGAAGTGTTTGGAATCAAATTAATGTACGTTTATTTTTCGTATTACGTCATAGCTACTAATTTTGTGTTCTATCAAATGAATGATGGCGATTAAGAAAAGCCAGTGACCCATAAATAATGTTTTCTCAATGCTCTAAGACCTCCCACGAAAGATTTCCTCGTATTCTTTTGCTTGCACTTCACATCGTCGTGCTTTGTCCAATGTCCAATTCGTGATTCTTCCATTCTTCTTGTTTGTCTTCTAAATCAAGGTGGTTGTCTCCGTCCTCGAACAAATATTCATTTTCGTTCACTTTTCTTCATTTGTTGTGCTAGACGTGGAATTGTTTCTTCTACTTAATTCTGATGAGAATTTTCGTCTTACCTATATCAGAAAGTAAGTTTTCGAATGGTGGATAAGATAACACAAGACAATATGAAAAAGAAAAGAAAATCTTGTTCTTTGTAGTGTCCTACACAATTTAACACTGACTAGTAATGGCATTAGTGTAAAGCTGACAGTTATTACTGCATTATGGGTGTTAAGAAAAGTCAGTGACCCATGAACTTTGTTGTTTTCTCAAGGCTAATTAACACAAAACGTCCATACCTTTGGAGTTAATTTTGAAAATCATCATTACCTTTCATTTCTTGGCATTTATACCCTTACCTATCACTTTTTCGTGCGCTGAACGTCATTTTCACCATATTTTGACCATTTTACCCTCTATTAAAAAAAACAAAAAGAAAAGAAAAACTAAAGAATTAATTGCAGTCGTGCTCCCGAAATTTTTAAAAAGTGCAAATTATCCCAAAATGCTTATTAAAGCATTTGTGAAGAATTGATTTCGGCAATTTGAGCACTAATTGGAGCAATTGGATGTCGACCCATAGCAATTGCATCATCAATTGAAGTTCACCCCATCGAATTAATCATTTGGAGCAGTGTAGGATCATCAAAATTTTGAAAACCCAATTTTTTGCACAGACCGCTAATGCAACCATCAATTGGACAGGGTTTGGGTGCAATTGGTGAAGACCCATTACTGGGCTAAGTGTGCCAGGTGAAGGAGAACCTAGCCCAGGTGGTCCGCCTCCATGGGTGCTTCGGACGGCGCCAGAAATTGAGATCTTCGTCGGCGGAATCGCGAGCTTCTCGACAGGGCAGTTTTCAGAATCAAATTCAGCCTGTTTGGGAGATGATTGGGATGAATTGCCACCATGTATAGGCTCGTCTGGATGTGGGGAAGAGGCTAGTAGTGGTACGCCTCCATGAGTGTGAACACCGGCGCCGAAAATCTCGATTATTTTAGGCAAAATCGCGACAGTCGCGACTGGCGAAGAAATTGCTGCAAAATTAACAGGCTGGGGAGTTTTTTGTATGAATTGGTGGCATGGGTAGGATCTTCTATTGATGGGCAGTCGGCCAGTGGTGGGTTTCGGCCATGGGTTTGGCCCGAATCACGATTCCCGACGTTTTTCATTTTCTGTGGCATTTTTTTCTTGGCTCGATTTCTTGCAAATTTGTCGATGGAATTTCTTGATGTTTGGATGTGCTGGAAGCTAGTGTTATGGGCTTGACATTGGTGATGATGTCCGACGGCTTTGGTGGCGGTTGGTGGTCATTTTTTGAAGGAGGAAGGAGGTCGTAGGGAGGAAGAGGCAAGAGAAGAGAGAGAGATTTTTTTATTTTTTTTTATTTTTAATATTTTAATATGGATTTTGGACTAATTTGTACTTTTAAAAAAAATTGGGAGCATGACTGTAATTAATTCTTTAGTTTTTTTTCTTTTTATTTTATTTGAATGGAGGGTAAAATGGTCAAAATACGGTGAAAAGGACGTTCAACGCACGAAAAGTGATAGGTAAGGGTATAAATGTCAAAAAATGAAAGGTAGAGACGATTTTCAAAATCAACTCTAAAGGTATGAACGTTTCGTGCTAATTAGCCTTTTCTCAATGTCTTAAGACCTCCCTTGTAAGATTCCTCGTATTCTGTTGTTAACCCTTCACATCATTGTTCTTTATTCCATAACCAAAATGATAACAACTAGATGTTAAATTTTGTCAAAGTTTCTTTATTCCTTCTAAATCAAGGAGGTTGTGTCTGTCCTTGGTCACATCTTTGTTTTTACCTTTTCTTTTTATCTTCGTCTGACGTGCGTGACATGAAATTTTATCTTGTGATTAATTTCGGTGAATTTTTTGTCTTATCGGGAAAAAAGCTTTTTTCATTGTCGCTAGGAAAAAAAATGAATCGTGTTTGGTCCAGATTAAAATCTGATTTTAATCCAAGTCAAACAATCAATATTAACCACATCTTTCATGGGTCCCACAACTTTTCAACGAAACATTTCTAAAACTTCTATCACAATCTACTAAAAATCTAATTTTAATCCTCACCAAACACTCTCGTATGGTGTAAAACTGCATACTCAAGAACATGTATTAGCAATGGCATCATTCTAACAGCGGACAGCAAGTGATGTGCTTCTTCAAAGATAAGTTCCTTACTATTGAATCCCACAACCATACTATTAATTTACTCAGGAAAATTACAAACAGAAAGATCTGTCTCACACTGACAGTAACCATGAACTTTAACAGCATCCTATTTGATTAATCGGCTGCCTATACGTGTTTTAAAATATGTAACACCTTAGACAGTTTTCCGAAAAAAAGAAAAAAAAAAATTCTCAACATGTAGAATACATGCAAATCTCCAGGTCAAAGTCTTTGGTTGCACAATTTTTGTTCATATACCTAGCAAATTTTGTTCCAAACTTAATCATAGGGCAGAAAAGTGTGCGGGTGTGTGTGTGTGTGTTTTTTTCTTTGTTTGGCTATGCACCAAACAAAAGGGGCTATAAGTGTTACATGCTATGTATATGTCACGTAGGGCGACTATCGTAGTGAGCGACTATAAATAACATTATTCTTTATATTTTACATTTATTATTTATTGATACGCATACCAAAAGCTGGATTTATTCGAATTTGTGCCCCAACCAAACACACAATTAATTTATTTAAAAAAGAAAAATGTGTGAAAGCCCAGACCAACTATCCAAATCGAAGTGAATTCATAACTAGCAACCACTACCCTGTAGCACATTAAGGTAATCCACAAGACAACAAGTGTGTACTAATTTGTACGCGCAGTCATGCTGTCATGTTCAATATACTACGTGATATGCTCACTATACTAATGTTATTACTCCAAATAAAACTTTTGTCATGATCAAGATAAACCACAAAACCAAATTGGTCGATGGTAGAGTATTTGACCGTATGACCTGAAAATAATAAAGGGATAATTGCAGCTGCGGTCCCAAATCTTTCAAATTTTTGCGCGCTTTATCCTAACCTTTGATTTGTGCCAACGAAGGTCCCAAACCTTTAATAAATATGCGGCGGAGGTCCATTTGGATGGAAACCATCCATTTGACCGTTAGTTTGACCAAAATAGTAGATTTGACTAATGTTGACCAAATTAGGAGGGGTAAAATAGTACATTTACAATTAAAACATTAAATAATAAAAAGAAAAAAGAAAAG